AATGGTCGGAATGCTGCCTCGTGACTGATAGTAGTGTATATGCCTAAGAAGTAAATTAATATTTTCATGTTAATATTGATAAAGTTATTTATATTAATGCCTGACTAATTAATGACTGTTATTAAAGAATTTTTTCAGCGGGGGGGGGGGCCTTACATTTTCGTGGGGGGGCACAATATATAACTTTTCTTTGTATTATACTGTTCTAACGGCATTGTTTTTAATTCAATTTTTTTTTCATCAAGCAAGAATTTTCAGTGGGGGGGGGGGCATCTGGGGGGCACAGAAAATTTGTGGGGGGGCACGTGCCCCCCCAGGGACCCCGTAGCTACGCCCCTGGGTGGAACCCAGGGTGACGGTGGGGTTTGATGCGTCCCTTTCTGTTTCAGGTGTAGATGCGATTTAATTTGCTTTTAGTATGATTTCAACGGAGAATTCGAAATTTGGGGAAGAATCGTGAGAGGTAGTGCACGTGACACATTGCGATCGCTGTCATCGCTGAGTGACGTCATTACTAACCTATTTTCGAATTAATAATTGGCAATCTGTCTGCGCTAATTATGCGGTGTAATTACGAGGTTAATTATTATGAGTTATAAAACACTAATTACGAGAGCGGCTAAAGCTAAAACGTTGTGTGCAAACTGAAATCTAATCGTTATGTTTTGTCGATATTAAGCCACATAGATATTAAATCACCATAAAACACCATATTAAAACAAATAGCCAGGTAAGTAAATTATGTTATAGGTGAGACGTCCACGGATAGCCAGGTAATTAGATATGTTATGGCTGAGACGTGGGCGGACACAGAGGAAGGTGAGTAGGCAGAAAGGCGGGAGCATGAGCGAGGCTTCGGCAGCTTACCCGAAACCTAAACAGTGTCATTCCCGTTCTCGCTAAGAGGGTTTTCTGCCCGTAGGACTCCGACGTAAACAACCCGGTAATGCACTGGACTGCTTCTGCGAATGCTGCGTCTACGCAGAGAACCACACGCGCGTGCCAGCTTTGCACCGGCTCCCCGTATAAATTAGTACAGTCGGTTAGGTCAGAATATCATCTAAATCGTTCAAATTGTGAAAAAAGTGTGAAAATTGGTACACTTGCATACTTTTGTATGCTCTTTCATTTAAAAGCAGGACACACGCGATCCACTTACAACTTCGGCCGCCATCTTGAATTCAAAAATGGCCGCCGTCATTTCTTAAAAAATAGCTATATCTCGGTTAATAATCTTCGTACAGACTTGAAAATTGACTGACAGACGTAATTTGGGTTACTATTTCATACAACAACGTGATGCATGTGATCCAAGGGCGTTTTCGGCCACCATCTTGAATTCAAAATGGCCGCCGTCATTTCTTAAAAAATAGCTATATCTCGGTTAATAATCTTCGTACAGACTTGAAAATTTACTGACAGACGTAATTTGGGTTACTATTTCATACAACAACGTGATGTATGTGATCCAAGAGCGTTTTTGGCTACCATCTTGGATTCAAAATGGCCACCATAAAAATTACAAACTTAGCAATTTTTATACATACACGCGTGCGTGTAGGAACGCTACATATACACGCGTGCGTGTAGGAACGCTACATATACACGCGTGCGTGTAGGAATGCTACATACACGCGTGCGTGTAGGAATATTACATACACGCGTGCGTGTAGAAATGCTACATACACGCGTGCGCGTAGGAACATTACATACACGCGTGCGCGTAGATACGCTACATACACGCGTGCGTGTATGAACTGTCAAGAGATTACCTACCGCACCCGCTACGTGCATGAATCACTAACCGCCCCTGATGCACCGACAAAGCACCGACAAGCTACATTACCCCTTCTCTCCCTTTCCCCACGCCTTCAATTCCGTATTAACCCTAATCAGATCAACATTAATCGTCACCAACGCCTTCGCTCAATGAGACACGAGTGTTGAACACACACGGGAACGTGGCAGCTTATGGCACACTCCTTGATGGATTGTGTTTGCGCTGGACGCCGCCAGGGGGCCCTCGATCCTCGCTGCTAGGCAGACGAAGATCGTATACGAGAGCCGCGCCGCGCCGCCGCAGGCAACAACGTGGTCGCTGTTCCCGCCCGAAGCCGTGTTTATCCGCAAGGCATCGGCAAGCTGGTTCTGTTTGCATTTCACAGCTACGCACACGCAAGAATCTGACAGAAATACCGCTAGAGTGAAGTGCCCACTGATAGGGTGTGTACCCACGGGCAGGGTCATATCCCCCCCCCTACATGGCCGCGTACATACAGCGCATGCGCGTTCATGGTGGACATTTTATTTAGTGGCAAGAAACTAGATCTATGAAGCGTTAATTCTGATATGTATCAAGTAGCGAAAACGTATTTATTTAATTAATGAGTGAAATGTAGTGAAAATAATTAGTCTGCGAAATGATAGGTCATAATTATCTCCGTTAATTATAAAATTAATTATAAAATTTTATTATTACGCTCGTATATATAACGCCCTT